ACAGGCACCAACAACGATAACAACCACTACAACAGAGGCACCAAGTGATACGGCCATGAATACAGAGGCGCCAACAACGACCACGACCACGACTACCACCACTACTACGACTACAGAGGCGCCAACCACGACGACCACCCGCGCACCGTCACGTCTTCGCGAAATCGACGGCAGCCTCAGCAGCTCTGCGTGGGTGTGTGCCCCGCTGCTGCTCGGTGTATCCGCGCTGGCGTACACCACTGTGGGCTGAAGAGGTGTATGCGGGCTGTGCGTGCCAGCACTCAACCACGGGGATTTGTGTGCATGTCCACTGTGGTCCGATGTAAATAATAATAGAAAGTAATGATTGTGTTTTGCTTCATTTGCTTCCGCTGCCCTGCTGTGTGCTCCGCGTTGCTTCCCACATCCGTCACGTTGAACGCAACCAAGACACACTCATGTGCAAGTACACTGGAGTCTTGTGTTTGTTTGTTCTTTTTTTTTTTTTCTTTTCTTTTTTAATTTTGCTTTTTAATCTTGTCGTTTTATTGCTTTTTAATCTTGTCGTTTTCAGGACGGTTGTGCGAGTTCTGCAATCGCACTGATTCCATCTGTTTCGTGGTGTGTGCGGCTGCGGCTGCGGTGGTGGCCGCGTGAGAGTGAGGGAGAGAGCCATGCACCGCCCGCACACACACTCGTCTTTCACTCACTCTCTGTGTGTGTGTCCCCTTGCATGGACTCTCGCCCTCACCTCATCCCACGAGGCACACACATAATGTGCCCATTGTATATATTGCATGCACACCCATGCAGGCCCGTTGGTGCTCTCTTTTGCACGACACGCACCGCTGCCGTCCTGCCTGGCTGCATGGGCGGAGCACCGTAACTGTTTTTGTTTTGTTTTTATTGCATTGAGTGGGCGACCTCTCTCTCTCTCTCCCTGTGTGTGTGTTTTGCTTTACGGGAGCAATGAGAGTGTGTGCGCTGGTCGTCCCACGCTTCGGCTTTTGTTTTGTTTTTCATTGTTTTGTGGTTGAGAACACCCGTTCCGTGGGCTGCGTGTGTGTGTGTGTGTGTGTGTGATGATATGAGTAATTTGCGTGTGTGCTATCCGCTTCTCTTTCTGCCGTTGCTTTCTTCTGACTCTCTTGTGGCGCACAGCTGCTCTGCAATTATAGGCGCTGCCAAACACACAAGCACATGCACACACATGCCGTGTTTAAAACGCTGAGAATGCACGCACGCACAGGATTGTGGCTGCGGAGGCCCTCGCGAGGGGCGAAGAAGCCTGCGTTTTGTTTTTTTGACATGTTGCTCGGTGTGTGTCGACGCGTGACGGACGGTGCCACAATGGCCTACTCTGGCAATGACAGTCGCTGTGTTCTTGGCACACATCCACACACTCTCCTTGTCTCTCTGTGTGAGTGATTGCAGCAGGGCATTGCTGCGGACCTGATGGGGACCACGACGGCGTCACCCCTCGAGAATGTCCCGCGCACTGTCTCTTGTGGAGCGGCGAGGCGGTTTGCCTGCAGCCCGACTGACAACTGCACAGTCGTTTCATTGCGGTCGCTCCGCCGGCATCACCTGCTGCGGTGGTGTCCGCAAGAGCCGCATCTCAGAAGTTTAAGCCGTTCTCCCTTCAGGATTGCCCTTGCTGCTCGACTGGCGCAGCACCATCTTGGCATGGTTCTTCTGCAGGGGTGCAGGCACCGGAGTGCCCAGCGACGGGGCTCGTTGGCTGCAGCGACATCCACCAGGCCTGCAGTGGGCGTGCCGGTGGCGTGGCCTTCTTGGTGCGCCACACCTTGCCGTGCGAGCGCCTGTCGCTGCTGGTAGCAACCGCCTGGAGACCACCGCCTTCCGCGTGTGCCCACCGGCCTGCCCCAGCATCTACACGGTGAACCTCTGCAGCCTTTACCCGGCAATTGCTCATGCTGCTCACTTTGCGAGCAACATTCGTCGCTTAGGCCTTGCAGCGGTTATTTGCGACCTGAATTTACATCATGAGCTGCGGGACGGTTGCTCACCATCCACGACGGCAGGAGAGGACCTCGCCGCCACCCAAGCGGCATGGAGTGTGAGCTATCCGACGACCCGGCACAGGCAACATGGATCAGCGGCCGCAGCGTCTCGTTTCCCGATGCGACTGCACAACGCGTGCTGCATGTCTCCCACTGGACGTCCACCCGTTTACATGGATTCGGACCACCATCTGCAATCCCACACTGCAGAGACGGGGGACGGCATCCCACGGCTGGCAGGCATGCTGCCACGACGGAAAAATATCGCCGTTGTCCTGCGTGAAGCTGACTGTGATGCTTCCCCCTCGTCCTGTGGAACACCTCTGGCCACTTTGAGCACATGGTTGGAGATGCGCAAATGCACCGTACGAGCGGCAGCCGTGACAGTTCCAGAGGAATTAGTACGGACGGAATGGAACAGGTGGAGTGTGTTGCAGCGGCAGCATGAAACGCGCACACAGCCTCGCCCGGAGGCAGCCTGCCCGAGCTGAAGTGCTCCGCAAACGGGAGTACCGCAATCATGCCCTCCACTGTGGCTTCTCCATGCTGCCAGAGGTCCGTGCGAAACAGCTTGGTGCCCTCTTGAGCCCAAGCCTGTGATGCTCCGAGGCATGGCGGCACCACGTCCCCGCTCCTTGTAATCGGCTGTGCTGCGGTACACTCGGGACCGCGTCTGTGCTCTGCCTCTGCAGCAGGCACACCTGCTCGTCCGTCACACTGTCCGCGTCGCACTTGCTGCGATCCTCACTGTTGTCTGCACAGTTTGTGCTTGCGTGCCCTCTGGTGGCTGAGATATAAATTTACTCTTCACGCCGTCTGCACCTGACTCGGCCATCCGCGATTGTTTGCGTGGCGTGGCCCCTGGACCCGTCGGCGTATTGAATGCTTTTCTGCGCCATCTTGCACCGGCTTGCACAGAACGATGATCAATACCTCACTCGCCGACGGCAGCCTACGAAGTTCCTGGGAAACGGGGAAAAACACTTCCATCCGCGAACACGGAAGA